AGAGAGAGAGAGAGAGAGAGAGAGAAAGAGAGGGAATATATGATAGATTATATATATATAAATATAAATATATACACAATGATATATATATATATATATATAGTGCTTAAAAATGTGTACAAGTGGACACTTTGGTCAGCGTTGCTCAGGCAGTAGTTTGCTGTCATCAGAAGTGTCTGGACACTGGGTGGGAACCACTTTGAGCACCTTTTATAATTGCAGAAATCAAACGTGACTTGTATTATCTTTTGTTATTGGTATATACTGAGTATCACAATTTTAATACAGTTTTCCTTTCTTAAAAATGTGTATACTTTTTTTGGCCCCTCTGTATAATTATATATATATGAAACTAGGTGTATATATATTTTATATATATATATATGTATATATATATAAATATACTATATACATAGTTGACATTCTAGTTGACTCATTATAGTTGACATTCAAAATTATTTTGTATTAGTTTCAGGTGTATAGCACAGTGGTCAGGCATCTACAGAGTCTATGAAGTGATCGCCCCGGTAAGTCCAGTGCCCACCTGACACCCTATCTAGTCTTTACAACATTATAGTTACCGAGATCTTAGGGTCTTACAGCACCCTGAGAAGGCACGGAAGCATGAAACAATGAAAGGACACCCTTGGCAGAAATGAATAAAGGCAGGAGGTCACTAAATATTGAAACAGCAAAATTTCTTGGTGATCGTCTAGCGGAGTTGGGTGCACTTAGGTCACCCAGCTCTTTTCACTACAGCCTGGGCCGGAGGGAGATGCTCAGTGAGGGAGGTAAGGCTAGATTTTGAAGATGTCAAAACGATTGAAATGTGTATTTTTTGTCTGGGGTTTAAAAGGAGGAAGGTTGGAGACTGTCAGAAGCTTTGAGTTCGACTATGAATTCTGAACTTGATACAACAAGCAAAGGGCAGTTGCTGTAGGTTCATGGGTGGGGGAAGACATGATCAAAATCAAAATTGCCTTTGAAGCTCAGTCTGCCAGTAGAATGTAGGAGGGACTCAAAGCAAATGGC